ACTCGACTACTGTGAGCCTGATGAGCGCTTCTTCTTGACCATCGCTTTTACATGTTTTAACCTGTTCTGTGCCAAGTGCTTCGAATACATCGGTTAGTAAAATTAGTTCTTCTAAAGTCTCGAAATCTTGACGTTTGATATACTTTTGGCAGTTAGTGACCATGTTGTGATATATTCGTTCTAGTTGCGAATTTTGATCCATGCCAGCATGTCGCATCAGATCTTTAATGATAATTAAATAACCCTTAAAGCTTTTTGGTGGCCTTTGACGTCGAGATCCTATTTCATCTGCTAATTTTTCATAATATCTAGGTGGCAAAAAGAAATTTAGGAAATCGGCCTTAAAACTTGTCCATAGCTGCCAATGCTTATTGTTGTAGCGATACCACATTAGTGCTTTATCTTCGAGCAGTATAGGCATTATCTTGGAAACTAGATTTATGACGATGCCATAGACGTCTGCAAGTTCTTCAATGTTTTCGTTAAAGCCCAACGGGTTCTTACTACCATTAAATTTAACACACCATTTCTCGACTTGTTCAACTGTCTGGAGATAAGAATACTGTCCCATGGTAAAAGAAAATGACGATGTTAACTGGTATCTGTTTTCACTGTCCCTGCTCGGGCGCCAATTGTAACGAACCTTTCTGGCCGAGGTGTTGCTCGCCGGATTCCAGGTCCAGTCCTACAATAAAGTTATTTGATAAGAGCAGTGAAAAGTTGGCTATGGTAGGACGTACGACGTAGGTAGAGGTTTTATTACTCGAATCTAGGTTCCTCTATTTCTGTTGCTATTAACGAAATGTTGATTTCGTTATCAATAAGTAATAGAAATGTATATTTCTATTCTACGGGACTGCTAGCGAAATGTTACTTTATAAACAAGTAAATAATAGAAATGTAAACAAGTAAATAATAGAAAAGTATATTTCTATTCTACGGGGCTACTGCGAAATGTTGTCTTATAAACAAGTAAATAATAGAAATGTATATTTCTATACTAGCTAAACGTTGTCTTATAAACAAGTAAATAATAGAAATGTATATTTCTATTCTACGGGGCTACTGCGAAATGTTGTCTTATAAACAAGTAAATAATAGAAATGTATATTTCTATACTAGCGAAATGTTGTCTTATAAACAAGTAAATAATAGAAATGTATATTTCTATTCTACGGGGCTACTGCGAATTGTTGTCTTATAAACAAGTAAATTATAGAAATGTATATTTCTATACTAGCGAAACGTTGTCTTATAAACAAGTAAATAATAGAAATGTATATTTCTATTCTACGGAGCTACTGCGAAATGTTGTCTTATAAATAAGTAAATAATAGAAATGTATATTTCTATACTAGCGAAACGTTGTCTTATAAACAAGTAAATAATAGAAATGTGTATTTCTATTCTACGGGGCTACTGCGAAATGTTGTCTTATAAACAAGTAAATAATAGAAATGTATATTTCTATACTAGCTAAACGTTGTCTTATAAACAAGTAAATAATAGAAATGTATATTTCTATTCTACGGGGCTACTGCGAAATGTTGTCTTATAAACAAGTAAATAATATAAATGTATATTTCTATTCTACGGGGCTACTAGTGAAATGTTGATTTCTTTAGCCGCGGATTTGGTATGGGTGATAATATTCAAGTGTAATTACCACCTTACCGATTAATCTATTAACGAAAATTTGATTTCGTTATGAACAAATAAGTAACAGGACTGGATCTGGAATCCGGCGAGCAACACCTCGGCCAGAAAGGTTCGTTACAATTGGCGCCCGAGCAGGGACAGTGGAAACAGATACCAGTTAACATCGTCATTTTCTTTTACCATGGGACAGTATTCTTATCTCCAGACAGTTGAACAAGTCGAGAAATGGTGTGTTAAATTTAATGGTAGTAAGAACCCGTTGGGCTTTAACGAAAACATTGAAGAACTTGCAGACATCTATGGCATCGTCATAAATCTAGTTTCCAAGATAATGCCTATACTGCTCGAAGATAAAGCACTAATGTGGTATCGCTACAACAATAAGCATTGGCAGCTATGGACAAGTTTTAAGACCGATTTCCTAAATTTCTTTTTGCCACCTAGATATTTTGAAAAATTAGCAGATGAAATAGGATCCCGACGTCAAAGGCCACCAGAAAGCTTTAAGGATTATTTAATTATTATTAAAGATCTGATGCGACATGCTGGCATGGATCAAAATTCGCAACTAGAACGAATATATCACAACATGGTCACTAACTGCCAAAAGTATATCAAACGTCAAGATTTCGAGACTTTAGAAGAACTAATTTTACTAACCGATGAATTCGAAGCACTTGGCACAGAGCAGGTTAAAACATGTCGAAGCGATGGTCAAGAAGAAGCGCTCATCAGGCTCACAGTAGTCGAGTATTCACAAGTGATCCCGTTACAGAAACCCATTAAATGATCCCCGCAGTCTAAATATCGAGTCACATTCCAAATCAAGCACATCAATGCAAAGCACACAAGGTCAGATTTATCCAGAGCAACATCCTCAATATTCTCAATCAAAAGAAAGGATTCATGCCCAAGCACATGAAGTACAATATCAGCAAGATCTGCAACGCAAAGAAAGTCTGCAAGTTGTTAATCGGATTTACAATACGCAAGATCAAGTAAAATTACAATTGCAAGTACAAGACATAGAACCACAACGAGATCCACAGTTGCGCGTAGAACAACCGATTATACTTTCGACTAAATTAGTGACAACCTCATCACTTCCCGTACCTCAAGGACAAACACTAGCAGAGACTTCGCTAATACTACGTTCGCAGAAACAAGATACTCCAGCGCAACAAGGACAAGAATATGATATGAGTATGGAAACCATTACCAGACAAGTTAAGGTGGTTGACGAAACACCAAGTACTAGCCAATCATCGCATTAACTATCAGAAACTCGTACAGAAAAGGTTTTGGAAAAACGCATCAGCCCACCAGAACAGCTATCACAGCCACATCCAAGAAAACTTGATTGTATGCACCAGAATGACAAAGTAAACAGCGCTCCGAATCAAATTAGAGAATGGTGTCTTGAAATTCAGAATTCTGGTAGCATAGCCATGAATGTAGTCCAAGACAAGTTCTTTAAAATCTTCAAAAATCCAAGGAAACGAACAAGGAATCATTCGACGAGGTAATCAGAGTTCGTCAACTCTATGGAAAAATCGGGGAAGTGTAACATAAAATTTATAGCTCTTAAATTGTACAACACAAAATATAATAAAACACTAACAAAATTGATATTGGAGATGGTATTAAAACCCACCTCCAAATTTAATACAAAATAAAATCAGAACAATAATAAAAACTTGTAAACAACACACCGTTGTAGTTACAAGAACAAAACTACAGTATGCTTCGCACCTCGCGGATATAAAAGGCGAAGCAAAAGCACAAGAAAGACATTCAGCGAGGTATCGAGCTAAAGAGAAGTCGCTTCAAAACATATGTGCTGAAACATCAAGAATCGAAATTTACATCTCGATTCCCATTTTTTTTTATATAACAGAAATACACATTTCTATTACAATAACTTTTAATAACGAAATTAACATTTCGTTAGTAGTAAGAGAAATATACATTTCTGTTACTTATTTGTTCATAACGAAATCAAATTTTCGTTAATAGAATAATCGGTAAGGTGGTATTTACACATGAATATTATCACCCATACCAAATCCGCGGCTAAAGAAATCAACATTTCACTAGTAGCCCCGTAGAATAGAAATATACATTTCTATTATTTACTTGTTTATAAGACAACGTTTCGCTAGTATAGAAATATACATTTCTATTATTTACTTGTTTATAAGACAACATTTCGCAGTAGCCCCGTAGAATAGAAATATACATTTCTATTATTTACTTGTTTATAAGACAACGTTTCGCTAGTATAGAAATATACATTTCTATTATTTACTTGTTTATAAGACAACATTTCGCACTAGCTCCGTAGAATAGAAATATACATTTCTATTATTTACTTGTTTATAAAGTAACATTTCGCTAGCAGTCCCGTAGAATAGAAATATACATTTCTATTACTTATTGATAACGAAATCAACATTTCGTTAATAGCAACAGAAATAGAGGAACCTAGATTCGAGTAATAAAACCTCTACCTACGTCGTACGTCCTACCATAGCCAACTTTTCACTGCTCTTATCAAATAAATTTATTGTAGGACTGGACCTGGAATCCGGCGAGCAACACCTCGGCCAGAAAGGTTCGTTACAATTGGCGCCCGAGCAGGGACAGTGGAAACAGATACCAGTTAACATCGTCATTTTCTTTTACCATGGGACAGTATTCTTATCTCCAGACAGTTGAACAAGTCGAGAAATGGTGTGTTAAATTTAATGGTAGTAAGAACCCGTTGGGCTTTATCGAAAACATTGAAGAACTTGCAGACATCTATGGCATCGTCATAAATCTAGTTTCCAAGATAATGCCTATACTGCTCGAAGATAAAGCACTAATGTGGTATCGCTACAACAATAAGCATTGGCAGCTATGGACAAGTTTTAAGGCCGATTTCCTAAATTTCTTTTTGCCACCTAGATATTATGAAAAATTAGCAGATGAAATAGAATCTCGACGTCAAAGGCCACCAGAAAGCTTTAAGGGTTATTTAATTATCATTAAAGATCTGATGCGACATGCTGGCATGGATCAAAATTCGCAACTAGAACGAATATATCACAACATGGTCACTAACTGCCAAAAGTATATCAAACGTCAAGATTTCGAGACTTTAGAAGAACTAATTTTACTAACCGATGTATTCGAAGCACTTGGCACAGAACAGGTTAAAACATGTAAAAGCGATGGTCAAGAAGAAGCGCTCATCAGGCTCACAGTAGTCGAGTATTCACAAGTGATCCCGTTACAGAAACCCATTAAATGATCCCCGCAGTCTAAATATCGAGTCACATTCCAAATCAAGCACATCAATGCAAAGCACACAAGGTCAGATTTATCCAGAGCAACATCCTCAATATTCTCAATCAAAAGAAAGGATTCATGCCCAAGCACATGAAGTACAATATCAGCAAGATCTGCAACGCAAAGAAAGTCTGCAAGTTGTTAATCGGATTTACAATACGCAAGATCAAGTAAAATTACAATTGCAAGTACAAGACATAGAACCACAACGAGATCCACAGTTGCGCGTAGAACAACCGATTATACTCTCGACTAAATTAGTGGCAACCTCATCACTTCCCGTACCTCAAGGACAAACACTAGCAGAGACTTCGCTAATACTACGTTCGCAGAAACAAGATACTCCAGCGCAACAAGGACAAGAATATGATATGAGTATGGAAACCATTACCAGACAAGTTAAGGTGATTGACGAAACACCAAGTACTAGCCAATCATCGCATCAACTATCAGAAACTCGTACAGAAAAGGTTTTGGAAAAACGCATCAGCCCACCAGAACAGCTATCACAGCCACATCCAAGAAAACTTGATTGTATGCACCAGAATGACAAAGTAAACAGCGCTCCGAATCAAATTAGAAAATGGTGTCTTGGAATTCAGAATTCTGGTAGTATAGCCATGAATGTAGTCCAAGACAAGTTCTTTAAAATCTTCAAAAATCCAAGGAAACGAACAAGGAATCATTCGACGAGGTAATCAGAGTTCGTCAACTCTATGGAAAAATCGGAGAAGTGTAACATAAAATTTATAGCTCTTAAATTTTACAACACAAAATATAATAAAACACTAACAAAATTGATATTGGAGATGATATTAAAACCCACCTCCAAATTTAATACAAAATAAAATCAGAACAATAATAAAAACTTGTAAACAACACACCGTTGTAGTTACAAGAACAAAACTACAGTATGCTTCGCACCTCGCGGATATAAAAGGCGAAGCAAAAGCACAAGAAAGACATTCAGGTATCGAGCTAAAGAAAAGTCGCTTCAAAACATATGTGCTGAAACATCAAGAATCGAAATTTACATCTCGATTCCCATTTTTTTTTATATAATAGAAATACACATTTCTATTACAATAACTTTTAATAACGAAATTAACATTTCGTTAGTAGTAAGAGAAATATACATTTCTGTTACTTATTTGTTCATAACGAAATCAAATTTTCGTTAATAGAATAATCGGTAAGGTGGTATTTACACATGAATATTATCACCCATACCAAATCCGCGGCTAAAGAAATCAACATTTCACTAGTAGCCCCGTACAATAGAAATATACATTTCTATTATTTACTTGTTTATAAGACAACGTTTCGCTAGTATAGAAATATACATTTCTATTATTTACTTGTTTATAAGACAACATTTCGCAGTAGCCCCGTACAATAGAAATATACATTTCTGTTATTTACTTGTTTATAAGACAACGTTTCGCTAGTATAGAAATATACATTTCTATTATTTACTTGTTTATAAGACAACATT